TTCGTCCAATGGTGCTTCCATCACTACCATCGCCTCATCACTTCGATAGCAGTTGTCAAGAACCTCTTCGTCAAATTTTAATTCCCCTTCAGCTGCCAATTGTCTATTATCAGCTCCGCCTATTCGATTTTGATCGCATAATCCAAGATCACACTGTTTATATAAACTACCACCTTCTGCACGTTTTAAATTCCATTCGAACGTTTTATATCTGTCATCGGCAGCTTTTATATAATGATTGAATGTCCTCTTTTCGTTGGAACCTTCAGGTTTGTCTTTTAGTTTCGTTCCTCTTTTCATTTTCAAATTGCCTTGACCACCTGAATTAACATTTGTTTTCCTCTTTGTTCTTGGCTTATGCGTTTTAACACTTTTACCACGCCTTCAAATGCTTTTTGCATATTTATTATTACCAAATCTAATAAGCCTTATATCCTCAATTTTATCAACCGGATACGTATAATTCTTCTTTTTCTTCCGTTTATTGTTTTCATCTACATTCACTTTTTCGTTTTCAGGTATCACTATACCATGTTCCGATTGTTCATGCTTCATTTGATCCGGACAATCAAGAGCTAAATGTCTTTTACGTCAGCATACATAACACAGCCGAGGTTTATAACGATGTCATTTCACTTGTTTCGACTTCAAGTTATTCACAACTTCAACTACAATTTTCACCACATTTTCCACCAACGATAACAAAAGATCAATACCCTCCATTTTCATTCGTTTACCACTAAGGTATTTGCTATTTTCGTTCAATGTCCTAATTTATTTGGACCTTTCGCTAATAATGTTCTTTTGTATTCCTTCCACAACGTTTGATACCAACTTTTACTCAACAAATGCCACTGAGGCAATTAATTCACAACAACTTTCACCGATCACGCCCTTTACCCTTTCTTGTGGCACAAATTAAACGTATCTTGCGAGTGGAACCTTCGTCTACCCAGGTCCTTTATGTCACGGAGTTTTCCAACACTCCGTGAACTACTAGACTTTTACTATCGGTCTTTAACTCGCTTGGCTATAATAT